CCATGTTTTCCAACTACTGATTCTTCTTCTCTGTTCCCAACTTTTGTGTTCCAGTCACCCATTGTATTCCATTATATGGATGTACCACAGTTTCTCTATCCATTTGTTTGCTGATGGACATTTGGGCTGTTTCCATTTTCTTGTTATTAAAAATAATGCTACAGTGAACACAGGCGTCCATGTCTCCATTTATGCCTTTGCTCTGATTTCTTTGGGGTTTATCCCTAATAGTAGAATAACTGGGTCCTATGAGATTTCTATATTCACCTTTTTGAGGAAACACCAAACTGCCTTCTATAGTGGTTGTACCATTTTGAACCACCACCAGCAGTTCACGAGAGTTCCAATCTCTGCACATCCTTTCCAACATTTATTGTTCTCTGTTCTGTTAAACTTCGTTATTACTGGTGGTGAGATGGTATCTCATTGGTGTTTTGATTTGCGTTTCTCTGATTGCTGGCAATTTTGAACAATTCATCATGTGTTTGTTGGCTGTCCGAATGTCTTCTTCCTTCATGAAGAATCTTTTCATGGCTTTTGCCCATTTTGTAATTGGGTTATCAGACTTTTTCTTATGGAGGCCCTGTACTACTCTGTAAACTTTAGTAATAATTCCCTTGTCTGAAATGTTTTCTTCCCAGTCTGTGAGCTTTCATTTTACCCTATTGGAATAAATTTTTGATACACAGATTTAATTTTTAAAGTCTCATTCATCAATTTTTTTCTCGCCTGGTTGTGATTTTTTGGCTATGTTAACAAACCTATTTATGCCATAGCCTACAGCTTCTAACTTTTTCTCTAAGCAACTTTATGGTTTTTGGTTTTACTCCTAGTTCCCTGCTCCACTTTGAGTTGTTTTTGTGTATGGAGTGAGATGGGATCGTGTTTCATTTTCTGCAGGTAGCAGTCTCATTTTGCTAGCACCATTTGTAAAGAGGCGATTGTTTCCCCACTTAATGGGTTTCAGTTCCTTGTCAAATATCAATTGACAATAGGTAGGTGGGTCAGTTTCTGTGTTCTCTACTCCATTAGTCTTTGTACCTGCAATTGTACCAATACCATGCTGTTTTGGTTACTATGACTGTAGTAGGTTTTGAGATCAGGGAGTATGGTGCCTCCTAATTTGTATTTTTGTTGTTGTTTTTAACTTTTT